TGCAGGGCGGATTTGAGCAACCAGGAGGGGGTGAAAGCAGCACCGGGATTGCTCCCAACGCCACCAGCTAAGAGGCAGGCTGTTGGACCTCGTGTTTTTGCCGTTGGAGATCCTGAGGGAGCAGCGCCGATCGCTGGTAAGTAATGTTGTGTGATCTTATATGTTGCTTGTGAATAGGAATGTAGAAGGAAATGCATAACTAGTCATACGTACACATCATCTAGGATCGATCTTGGTAGGTAGGCGCGATTGCATATACCTTGTTCGACACCGGTGCCACAAGTAGCTTCGTGAGCCCGGGGTTGACTAAGTGTTGAACTTTCTCTGGAAAGTTCACCCCCAGGTCTAAAGCAGTGGGAACTGCTGGAAGTGAGCAGGTGGAGACCATTGGTATCCATGAGGATGTGTCTATCTTGATGGAAGGAGCAGAGTTCCTTGGACTCTAGTGGAAATGAAGTTGGGCCACTATGATGTTATTCTTGAAATGGATTGGCTGAAGCATTATGAAGTTGTTCTGAATTTTTGAAAGTCGAGGGCCTATGTTCTGCATCGAGAAGGTCGGAAAGTCTCTCAAGGAGTGAAGACCGACACGGGAGTGCCAATCATTTCGATGATTCACGCAGAGAACCTTATGGAGGAAAGATGTGAAGCTTTCTTAGCGGCAATCTCCATGATTGGAGAGGGAGCATATAAAAGCCTCGAGGAGATACCTATGGCAAATGAATACGTGGACGAATTTGAGCCATTGACAGGACCACCGCCCAAGAGAGGAGTTGACTTCACTATTGAAGTAGAACCAGGGACGGCCCCTGTTTCAAAGATTTCATATCGGTTGGCACCGGCAGAGATGGCTGAGCTGAAGAAGCAATTGGAGGACTTGACGGATAAGGGATTTATTCGGCCAAGTAGCTCAGCGTGGGAAGCACCAGTATTGTTTGTGAAGAAGAAAGATGGAAGCTTTCGACTTTGCTTCGATTAGAGAGGCTTGAACAAGGTGACCATCAAGAATAAGTATCCCATGCCAAGGATTGATGAGTTATTGGACCAGTTAGAGGAAGCTTCATGGTTCTCCAAGATCAATTTAGCATCAGGCTACCATCAGATTCAGATAGCAGAGGAAGGAGTTGTCCTATGAGGTTGGTGATATGGTATATTCGAAGTTGAGAACCTTCAGAGGAAATGGCAACCATCGGAAGATGAAGAAGCTCAAGCCAAGGTACATGGGGCAGTACCCTATCCTTGAAAAGATTGGAGAAGTGGCTTACCGCTTAGAGCTGCCTAAAGAGTTAGCTGAGTTCCATGATGTGTTTTATATCTCGTTTTTGAGAAAAGTTGTGAGAGAGCCAGAGCTTATTTTGTCTTAGCCGCTAGTAGATGTGAGGAAGAATTTTTCGGCAGCCTATCAACCTGTAGCAGAGTTGAAATTTCGAGAAATGGAGGTCTAAGAGGAAGCCGTCAGTTAAGGTTTGTTGGGAAAAGGACGGTATCCGAGAGGAAATTTAGGAGTCAAAACAAGAAATGCTGAAGGATTACCCAGAGTTCTTTCAGGACAAAGGCGAAACCGGAGGAGTTGGAGAGAATTCGGGGACGAATTCCTTGGAAGTCGGGGAGAGTTGTAACATCCCAATTTCGGCCCAATTGGGGAAAGCCCATCAATGCCAAGCCCACTCCAGCAACCCTAGTATAAATAGGGAATTAAATGAGAAGGAGCCTCATTTGTCTTCTAAAAACCCTAGCCACCCAAAGAAAAGAGAGAAAGAGAAAAGAAGGGGAAACCGCCGCTGTCTTGTGTGACAATTTCCCAGCGATCTGTGAGGAACCATGCAACGTATAACCTATCAAAGTGAAGCCCTGAGTGTCTTCTTTCTATAAAGACTAAGTTCATCCGGATCGGAGATCTGTGCCGGGAGATATCACTGTTTCCGTGTCGGGTATCCAGATCTACTTTGTTGCTCAGGTGAGGATTAGATCTAGGTTCTTCTTCTTATTCTTTTATCTTCTTCTGGTGTGGGAAGTCTAGATCTGATAAGTCGAGGTTGTTTTCATGTGCATCTAGATAGTTCCATATATATATATAATTAATATAAATTATGACTCTCATTAGAGGAAGCACCAACATACCTGATTGTTCACCCTGCTTTGTGGTTAGTGTTTGGTAAAAATAGCTAGATCAGGTGTCTGTCTCGGTGGAGGTGTGCCAAGGTACGGATTGATTGCTGGATTAGTGTTGTCTGTGTGACCGTAGCATTAATTCATCGTCAGGTGGTTAGACGAACCACCATCTGTCTTTGTGACCTGGCATAGCCTGTCTGTGTGACCTGGCAATGTTGAGTCTGTCTGTGTGACCTGGTGCCTGTCTTTGTGACCTGGCGATGTAGAGCCTGTCTGTGTGACCTGGCGGAGCCTGTCTGTGTGACCTGGCAAGATTGGAGACGCCTCTTTGATAGTTGTTTGTGCACTTCTAGAGTGCTTGTTTTTTGCTTGTTGGGTTTATACTTGTCATATTGGTTGGAAATGATCGAGTGGGAAGAATGTCTGGTTTGGTTCTCACTGAGAAATTTCTCCAAATTACTCACTCCTCTCTTCTAAATCCATATTGCAGGTGAGTCTAATGAATGTGATTGTGATGATGTTTGGGAAGAACTAGACGAGTAGCTCTAGTGTGATGTGCCTTCAGAGATAGAAGATGTTTTATTTGTTTTAAGAACTATTTCGTATTTTCTTTTAAAACAATGTTTTCTATTTTATTCGGATTCATTTTCAGTATTTTATTATTAATTGTAAAATTTGGATTTGGGTTTGGTTTTGGAATAGGAATAAGATGTTATTCAAAATTTATTGGTTTAGGATAACTAATACCACTGGTTTAACCTGGTTCCTTTTGGAACCCAGGATCAGGGTGTTACAAATATTGGTTTTGTTATCAAAGAATATAAATATGAATGTGTCTAGCACATACCGATACAAAAGAAAAAAAAGAAAAAAGAAAACAAAACATGTGCCTAGCAGTAGCAGTGCACTGCGCTCTTTCACTTATTCGAAATTTTTTTCTGTATTTTCCATGTTAAAGTTGGTGGAGTTCTTCGTCTTTATCTTAGGCACTGTATTAGGTAATGTACTAGGCATTATTTTAAGGGCGGCTGCGGTGAATTAATTAGACTTGTTACTTTGGTGTGTTTAAACAATATAATGACAGTTGATAAGTTAAAGAGAGGTGTTATATATTCATAGAGCCGTGAATCGAGAGTTAGACTAATGGATAAAGTATGGGGCATCGGATCCGTCAAGATGTAGGCTTAAGTCACAGTAAGCCATATCACAAGAGGATCCGATGCCTCATAATTTTTCTAAAAAAACATATAAGATATATCTTGTCTAATTTATTATCGTTAGCAGAAACTTCTAATTTTTTTGTGACGTCTCTTTTGATCTTCTTTTATTGTTCTACAAGTTGGTCCGTCTAACTCGTGAGGATTAGTCCAGCTACATGTGAAATGAATTGAATAGCCCTAAACTTACAATAACTCATGAGTTGTACGAACGACTACTTAATCCTTATACAATTTCTCTCACCGAGGATGAAGAAAGAAGTTTAGTATAAAAACAAAGAATGAAGAAAAAACCTCGCCGCCATAAATACCACCTTCCGCAGAATTTTAATGTTTTTAGTAGCTATGTCTAATTTTCTCATAAGTTTAGTTAAGCAATAGTAATAAGTTTATTATAGTAAACTTTTATATATCTATATCTATATATATATATATATATATTAAACCCTACGTAATATGTAGAAAATTTTAAAAAACATTTCGATTTTAAAATTGATTATTATGTATTTATGACTAGTATAATTAATTTTAAATTAAAATTCTATTACATTGTTTAAAATTTATGCTTTGTCATTCACAATTATGTAATTATAAATTCATACATACTATTTAAATTATTCTAAATAAATAATAATGTTCTAAAAATATAATTACTATTATATAGTTTCTGTTTTTTTTCATTGATATATTTTATTTTTTCTATTTAGTAATCTTTATTTAAGAAAAATACTTAATTAAATTTTTTATTTTCTAAAGTAAATATTTAAAAATAAATTTTTTTATTATGGCATAAACACATGTCACAATTTAAATTAACAATAACACATGTCATAATCTTGTAAGTTATAATTATTTTATGTGTTATACTCATATTGAATCCGTTTAGAATCGTATCTATTATTTATTATTATTTTTTTTTACTTTAGTAATCACCATTTAAAAAAAATACATAATTTAAAGTAAATAATTAAGAATATAAAATTTATATTATTGCTTTGTCACATGTCACAATCTAAAGTAATGATGAAACATGTCACGATCTTGTGAGTTATAATTATTCTATATGTAATGTTTATGTTGATCGCGTTCAACTTTATATAATAAGATTCTGTGATGATGGTGAACTAATCCGAGTCCAAATAGGATATCAATTCTGTGGTTATACACCAACCTTCCATATGAACTCATTCTCTGGAACAAAGTTTATTGTATTGAACGAGTTACTGAGGAAACAAGCTTTGTTCAACATAAGCTGTTTCAGAGTTTTTTTTTGTGTGGTCTAAAGCTGTTTCAAAGTTTTGCAATATCAACCTGATGATTCATAATGTCGAATAACTTGTAAAGTGAAACCATTTGATATTAATTTTTGCAGATAGTGTTTACGATATGGTTTTCATTTGTATCAGACAAATCTGTTTCACTGTCAGTTCCATGCTCATTCTCGATCACCACCCATTAGCATCTTCAGTAACATGCTTCTCGAGCGACTCTAACCTTCTCCTAAAGTCACGAAATTCCCTTTCCATCATGAACAACCTTTCCTTCATGGTCAAGTTATATTCCTTTAGTTGAGCAATATTGCTATCCTGATAATTAACCCGGTTTTCCAAAACATTTTTATGCTCAAATCTACCACAGAAACTCGGATAAACCATCTTATATCGGCTCAAATCATGGTCTAATCTCCTCCCCTCCACATGAGACACACGATCCTCCTTCATCTTCATCATCATCCTCATCATATGGTTCCAATTCATGTATTCCACCATCAGATCTCAGCCTAATCAACCCTTTCATTGTTCCATGACTATCAACTCCCCATTCTTCCTTCGCCATATCGCTCAAAACCTTTTCCGATGGAGAGAAATTCGGAGTAGGCAACACCATTGGTGTCACAGGGCATGGCGACACCAACTCAGCAATGCCACCAGATTTATTCGCACTGATGATAAACGAACTTGTGTTCCTAGGAGCATGAGGAACATATCGGTTACTATACTTCTTCTTCGGACAAAACGTCTTCAAACTGTTTTGTGACTTAAGCTTGTTCAAGGCCGGAGGATCAATACGTGAACCAGAGCCATGTAGCTGCTGCAATCTTGTACCAGTTGGACCAGTACGAATACCAGAGTTATGCATTCTCCGAATTGGCTCCATCTTCTTTCCATTCCAATTGTGACCATAGTTATTAGGGTTTATCAAATTAGAGTTAAGACTAAAGTTTGGGGGATTCATTGTTAGAGGCGGATTATTCATTGTTGCTGGAGGCTGAGACTGAGCAAAATTCATCACTGTTGTTGCTGGTTCATAGCCATAAATGGATGATTCAAACACTGTAATTGAACTAATAACCCACTCTGGTTCATAATACGAGACGTAATTAGATACAATTGTAAGAGTTTTATGCGGAAGCGTTTAAACCGAAAACATACCTTTGCCCGGTTTAGCGATGAATATGATTCGGTATGATCTGAAAACGGATGCAGAGATCGGGGAAGAGATCACAGATGGAAATCAACCACTTATCACCGTTCAAATGCCCTTCTAATTGATCTCTCCAAGCTTTCTCTCTCTAAAATGTTTTCTCTCTCCTCTGTAATTTCTTTGTCTACCAACAGTCACAAACTGTTGTAAACAGACACCAAATTCTCTCAGCAGTGTCTCATATATATACATATTGAAGAGACATAATTTGAAGAGTCACAACTCTTCATATATGGAAGTTATAAGAACCAATTTCTCATAACTACTGGTTTAATCAAACCAGTTTGGTATGCTGCCAAATCATGGGCGCAAACCGACCATAAACCAATATCTCCCACTCGCACATGATAAAGAGCATAACAAGCATTGAAGAAGTATTAGAGACTAAGCTTGAGAATCGTAAATTGGAAATCATATGGCAAATGAACCGTGCGACCCTTGCGAATACACCTACACTTGGGAGCTAAAATATGCACCTGTTAGGGATACATACAAGCTACAACCCTAAGAAAAAAAATTTGAATTTCAGCATGTCTCGCTGCTCCCCAAACTCATTTGTCTTTTATATCAGCCATAACATATCTTATCCCTAAAGCATATGTTGGACCTTTTCTTACATCATGTGTTCACTATATACAAACTCCAATTGAGTGATATAGTGGCTGGCCAGCAAACACATATGTCAATATAAAAGCAAATAGTTTTCCCTTCCTTTCTCATGTATATTGGATCTGAACTAACTGCTTTCCTAGCATGTTTCATAAGGCTAATTATTTCATCACCGTCGAAAAACATACTAAAGTAGCAAACATTAGCTCATCCCTTCAAAACATAGCCGAATGTTCAAGGGTAACCTTGGAACCATAAATAGGTTAATAGGAACTCACATTGCAAGAGATAGAGATTATAAAAAAAAATATCACTTGCTTCTTATATGGTCGTATTAGCACATGTGGTATGACTCACATGCTATAGCGATTACCTCTTCTTTTAAGAGTATTGTCCTTTTGTATAAACCAAGCACCGCTATATGGATCAAGCTACTACCAGCTCGCTTTCCAGCGCCTGATTATGTACTTATCCAGCTATGCCAAGTATTCATGATTTTGGGACAATCATGACCGATATTTTAAAAAAAAAATATCTCATCTTAACTTCTTATTAAGGCAACATTGATAAGTTTTATAAAGCAAGCTCCCACTAGCGCCAAACTCATCACGTCTCATCTTAGCCTTTCACAAAGAAATCTAAGGCGATTATTCATGTGAGTGAACCAATCTCTAACTTGGGGACACTTCTCAAAATTTATATGTAAGTATGCAAACTAAAAGAGACCATTGTAAAATGTTTGAAATATCCTTAGATATGTATTAAATATCAAACATAAATACCATGTCAAATAACAAAGCTCCATTAGTACATACATCAAACTCTACGCAAACCTAACGCTCGAACATGTGCAAGGAACACATCTCTAGGAATGGGCTTAGTAAATGGATAAGCGACCATCCTATGCGTAGATATGTACTTAAGGACCACTTCTTTCTTTGCCACAATGTCTCTAACAAAATTATTCTTAATTTCAATGTGTTTTGTCCTTCCATGATACTTGGGGTCCTTCATGTAAGCGATACAAGCTTGACTATCACAATGGATAGTCACAGGACACGAAGCCTCTCTTGTGACTTGTAAGCTCTCTAAGAACCTCCTTAGCCATACAGCCTCTTGAATTGATGCTGAACATGCAATGAACTCAGCTTCCATCGTGGATAATGCTGTACAAGACTGCTTTTTGCTACTCCAAGTAATAGCACCATCACTGAGTAAGAAAGCATATCCTGAAGTTGACCTACGCTCATCCAGATCGCCAGCCCAATCGGCATCTGTATAACCCGTCAAGCGTAAATCCCTTCCTTGATAACACAAGGAATAGTCCATTGTCCCCTTCAAGTATCTGAGGATCCTCTTCACTGCCATCCAGTGTTTCTTCCCGGGATTTGATTGGTAACCACTTACCAAACCAACCGAATAACAAATATCCGGCCGGGTGCACATCATGGCATATATCAAACTGCCTATAGCACTAGAGTATGGGACTCCTTCCATCTCTCTTTTCTCATCATCAGTCTTAGGGCACATATTACGGCTTAGGCCTTCACCTTTTGTGATTGGGGTTTCAATGGGATTACAGTCAAGCATCTTAAACCTTTCAAGGATTGTTCGAATGTAAGACTCTTGTGAAAGAGCCAGTAATTTCCTTGAACGGTCTCGGTGTATCTTAACACCAAGTATGTAATCAGCTTCTCCCATATCCTTCATCTCGAAATGAGATGATAACCATTGCTTAACAGTTATTAGAAACTCCATATCATTTCCAGCTAATAAGATGTCGTCAACATAAAGAGATAGAATTACAAAGGATTGTCCAGTACTCTTGACGTAGACACAATGGTCTTCACTAATCATCGTAAACTCATAAGATGTTATAGCTTGATGAAAACGAAGATACCATTGCCTAGAAGATTGTTTTAGGCCATATATTGAACGTCTGAGCTTACAAACTTTGTGCTCCTGACCTTTTACAACAAACCCAGCAGGTTGTTGCATGTAAATATCTTCTTCTAGTTCCCCGTTAAGAAACGCAGTCTTAACGTCCATCTGATGTAATTCTAAGTCTAGTCCAGCAACTATAGCTAGAATAAGGCGAATTGAGGTAAACCTCACCACAGGTGAAAACGTTTCCTCATAATCTATACCCTCCTGTTGGGTATATCCTTTCGCTACTAGGCGAGCCTTGTACCTATCTATGGATCCATCCGCCTTACGTTTGATCTTGAAAACCCATTTGTTTCCGATTGCTCGACGTTCAGGCGGAAGATCAACCAAGTCCCAGACATGGTTAACTTTCATAGATTCTAATTCTTCTCCTATTGCACTATTCCATTCAACTGAGTTTGGGCAAGAGAGAGCCTCTTGAACTGATCTAGGCTCTTGATTATCATGTAGAGCAACCATAAAAGCTTCCCCTTCAATCTCAAAACGACGTCTAGGAACTTTTCCACGGTTACTTCTACGTAGCTCAGACTCTTGTGCTTCCTCCATAGAGGAATCACCAACCAATGTCTCTCTCCCACTAAGTTGTGATAGTTCATGTGAACTTTCATCAACTTCCATGAATAGGTTAGTAGAAGGAACACTAGTTGTCTCTACTATCTCTTCAAGATGGAGTCCTTTATCAACCTCTCCCCTTCTAGGAAAATCATTTTCCAAGAACGTGACATCTCGTGATTCGATATCTGTTACACTTCCATCTGATTGTTCGCCGATAAGGACATAACCTTTAGAATGCTCAGAGTATCTTATGAAGATACGCTTCTTTCCTCTAGGACCCAATTTTCCATGAGGATGAAAAATATCGCGAAAAAATGCTGCAGACCCCCAAGGTCTCAGATGCATTAGGTCGGGTTTTCTTCCCGTCCATAATTCATAAGGAGTAGTAGTAACAGATTTGGAGGGCACAAGGTTAAGTATATAGGCAGCAGTCAGTAATGCATCCCCCCAATATGAAATTGGAAGGTTAGCCTGCGCCATCATAGACCTAACCATTTCAAGAAGAATTCGATTTCTTCTTTCCGCTACACCATTTTGTTGTGGTGTATAAGGGGTAGTCAATTGTCTGAGAATACCCTTTTCATCACACAGCCTTTTGAACTGTTCAGATAGATATTCACGACCTCGATCCGTTCTTAAACACTTGATCGTCCTCTCCAACTGATTCTCGACCAAAATGATATATCGTCTAAAGCAGTCTAGTGCTTCTGACTTATGTGAAATTAGATACACATACCCGAATCGAGTGAAATCATCTATAAAAGTGATGAAATATGAAGCTCCATGCCTCGCCCTCACATTCATTGGACCACATATGTCTGAACGAACTAATTGCAATGGAAATTCAGCTCTAGTTGCTTTTCCAAATGGTTTTGTAATTGCTTTTCCAGCCAAACATGGTTCACATGTGTCAAGATCAATTCGGGCTAGTGAGCCTAGAATACCTTCTCTAGCCAATCTATTCATTCGATTGACTCCAATGTGACCAAGGCTAGAATGCCACACATTCATTTCAACATTTTCAGAACTTGTGACATATGAAAAACAATTATCAACATTACTTCTAGTAGTAACATTTGTAGTACAATCAAGTACAATAAAACCATCACAAGCGTAACCAGAACCAAAGAACACAGACCCTAGAGAAATGTGCAAACACATGTCATGGAAGTTCAAACCAAATCCTAACTTAAGTAGAGCCAAAACAGAGACTAAGTCCCGACGGATTTCAGGAGCATACAAGACATCATGTAATATGAGAGTTTTTCCGCCACGCATGTGTAGCTGGCAAGTGCCGATACCCTGAACAGCAACTTTGGAGTTGTTTCCCACATACAACCATCTTGTACCTTTAGGCACCCGTCGGTACTCTACAAATGCTTCTCGACTTCTAGCTACGTGGTCTGTTGCTCCTGAGTCTACAATCCACGAAGGATGAGATTCTGTAAGCATTACACAACTAGAAACATAAGCATATTTGCAAGTAGAGTTTAAGGATAATACCTTCTTTGCCTCAGTGCATTCACGAGCAAAGTGACCTAATGAGCTACAGTTGTAGCACTTCATTGGTCTTATCCTTCTTGCCTCCACGCTTGCCACGCTTGGCATCTTTCTTTTGTCTCTTAAGTTCAGACTGGTAGGGTGCCTTGTGTCCCATGTTACCTTTCTTGCGTTTCAAACCTGAGTTTGAACTC